GGAGAGATGGCTCAGCGGTTAAGAGCACTGACTACTCTTGCAGAGGACCTGGGTTCAAGTCCCAGCACCCACATGACCGCTACGAACCGCCCTTAACTCCAGTTCCAGGGGAATCGGAAGCCCTCTTCTGACCTCCAGGGCACTGCGTGACACAGGTGCACTCACACACATGCAGGCAATACATTCGTACACATAAAATAAAAATAATATATATTTTTTTAAATGTTAAGAAGTGACTCCCAGTAGGTCACCCTGTACTACAGTTTAAAAATAAATAAATAAATATTTATTTATTTTGGTCTTTTTGAGACAGGGTCTCCCTGTAGCCCAGGTATCCTGGAACTCACTATGTAGACCAGGCTGGCCTTGAGCTCACAGGGATCCACCTGCCTCTGCCTCCTGAGTGCTGGGATTAAAGGCATGTGCCACCACGCCTGGCCTGATAAATCTTTTTTTTTTAATTAATTAATTTTTTTACTTTAAAAAATTTATTGAGAATTTCATACATGCATCTAAAATGTTCTGATCACATCCATGCCCACTCCCTCCCCTCCAACTCCTCCCATATCGCTCCACACTTTTTTCTGACAACTTCAGACAACTTCATGTACTCTCTTTCTTTCCTTCCTTCTTTCTTTCTTTCTTTCTTTCTTTCTTTCTTTCTTTCTTTCATGGGGCTTTTTGCTAGTCTAACAGTCCCCCCTCTGAAGAGGTAACCCTAAAAGTTTTTAGGGATTAGATAAAAGCTCCCAAATACTTCTGACATTTTTGGTCTTTGGAACAGAGTATATTGCTAACAGGCCCAAGGACCTTTTGACTTTTAGCCAAGAAACTGGCTACATTTCTTTGGAGTCTTTTTACACTAACTGCCTAGCCAATTCCTACCTCTTGTTCTTATCACGCCATCCTCTGAAGAGGGTACCCAAATTGCCAATGGGAAATTGGGATGCAGACTTCTCTGGCTCCTTCCATGCTGAAGGGGGACGCAGGGTGAAGCAGTTGGGGTACCCATTCAGTGGGTCTATCTAAAAGACTCCCAAATTGCATAACTTGTATCTGTAGGGGGAAAAGAAAGTCCTTGACTGGTGAATAGGAGATGTGAAGGAGAAGTAAAGGCAAGAGTAATTAGCATTACAAGTTCTAGACAGGGAGCTAGCAAAAAGTCAGAACAGGGAAATTTTCAAATGTTCAAATGAGAGTCCATTGGAATTTCTTGACAAGAGCTTCCAAAAGCATCCCTCTATTGGGTTCCTCCTCGTTTTTCTTTATCTGCCAAGGCTGGACTCGAGAGTGATGGATTCAGGATTTGCCTTTAGGTATTTTGATAGCTGTTGGAGTGGTTAGAATCAGTGTTAGTTCCTTTTGGGAGCTATTAGTACAAGCACAGCCTTTATGCACACTGAGCTGTGGCAGGCTTGCTTGTTTACTTTATGATCTTTCACCTTGACTCAAGAGTTTGTGTGTTTTGCACACCAGTACCGAATTGTTCTGCCAAGTCAGGAGGAATGTGTATCTGCCAAATCAGGAGGAATGTGTTTATATGGTGGATCTCACAAAACAAGTATTTGACCTCTCCTTGACCCTCAGATACAGGTGGGAAAAACAGCTGTTGAAGCTAATTGAGTTAAGCAAACGGTGGCTATCTCTGATGTTCTTCTGTATAAAAAGGCCAAGCAAAAATAAAATGGGGCTGCAGTCTCTACTGACAGTCCTCCCAAGTATCTTTTCTCTGTCTCTTGTTTTTCTTTCATCCTCACTCCCCTTCCAGGTGCTGTTCATCTCGGCCGGCTGGCACCGGCAAGTTCCCTCTCAAAGGCTTCTAGATAAGGGGAGAAAACAAATTTATCCATCATTTTAGAATAGCTGGTTGTCTCCTTTAGCTACAAGTGGGCACTACAGTATTGCACACAAATCTTTTTTTTTTTTTTTTTAAGCACATATGAAGGCTCAGCTCCTTGCAGGCAAAATCAGTGTCAAGTCCCTGTCCCAACACCCAGTAGGATTTAAGGGCCAACTACCACAAACGTCTTCACCTGCCTCCACATTTGTAAGTGCCATTCCATACCAGAGTCACTGACAAAAGTCAGAGAGGGAGATAAACTGGCTGGAGAGGTCGTTCAGTGGTTAAGAGCACTGGCTGCTCTTACAGAGAACCCATGTTCAGTTCCCAGCACCCACATGGTGGCTAACAACCGTGTGTAACTCTAGTTCCAGGGGATCTGATGCCCTCTTCTGACCTCGGAGCACATTACATGACATGGTTGCAGACAATACATGCATACACATAAAATAAAAATAATAATTTTTTTAAAAAAAGATGAAAACACCCAGGCATGGTGGCACACACCTTTAATCCCAGCACTCGGGAGGCAGAAACAGGCGGATCTCTGTGAGTTCAAGGCCAGCCTGGTCTACATAGTGTGTTCCAGGACAGCTGGGGCTACAGGGAGACCCTGTCTCAAAAAGTCCAAAAAAAAAAAAAAAAAAAAAAAACCAAAAAGATAAAACCAGTATTAATGAAGACAAATGAACTTTAATAGTTTAGGGGAAAATCTGATTTAAACATGCATTACAATGAAAAGTAAAAGCTCAATTTCAGGAAACTTGGCTAATTATCTCAATAGATGCTTTTCCCTCAAAGGAGCAGGGCGTTAGGACTGAACTAGGAAGATAAGTAGTGTTCTTGCCGCTTCTAAAAAGAGTCACAACCCTTAGAAAGCATTTCCTAGTTTCTCATGGAGAGCTGGGGACCTAGCCAGGAGGAGGACCCCGAGGAAGGCCTGACTTCCAAGTGAGAACAAGACCCTTCCCAAGGCTAGATTTCATAAAAAGGACATGTAGTCTTCCAGAATCTTCCTCAGGATGATCTTCGTGTCCTGAGCAATGACTTCAATGATGCGCCTGCGTCTCAGGTGTTGAAAGCCACTGATGACCCAGTTAAACAAGCCATACCAGAACCAACATCCAAGAAACCCAAGAAACTTCTTCACAGCTACGCACATCAACAGTCTCAGTCCCAAGTCCCTCTGGCAGGCAATGCGAAAGTTCTGAGACTTCATGTCAGCCCTGTATTTCATCACGTCTTCACCAAACCTCACACTCTGAGCCACCTGCTGAAGTGACGCATCATCCACACCAAAGAGGTTTTGGTAGGTTTCCAGACAGCCCTGAAGGTCTTCAGCATCTCCAGTGGGAAGAGCGCCCTGGAGGTATTGTGTGAGCTCCCGGTCCTTCATGTAGAATGCTCTAGCCTCGATGCTTTTATCACAGATGCAGTAAAGGGTCTCCAAACTAGGGTTGTACCTGATGTTAAAGATGTCATTTTGCAGTACATTCCTAAGATCTGTGAATTCGTATGAAAAAGGGTCAAAGTTGCATACTAGGAATATGGGGGGTCCCTTCACCCACTCCTTCTGGAGGTTTTCCAAGATGTTCTTTTGGACATTCTGCCGCAGTTGGGATTCTGAGAGGGCACTTGTGTTGAAGTCTCTGTCCACCTTGGTCCACACCACATAGAACTTCTTTCCCATCCTCTGGATGGCTTTGGCCAGCTGCACGTGATTGGAGCTGAACTGCTCAGAAGCGATGATGATGAAGAGGTCGTACTGGCTGCCCTTCACCTCCTCGAGATAGCTCTCCACGCTCTGGGCTGTGGCCCCCAGGCCAGGCAGGTCCCACAGCTCCACGTAGGGGAAGCTGGAGGAGGAGTAGCAGGTTGGACGCTGGGTGGTCCTCACCACCCCCGTGGGAGCTGAGTCCTCCTGCTCATGTCCAACGACTCTAAGCGCGTTGATGAAGGATGACATGCCGTTGCCCGTGTCCCCCGTCACAGCGATGCTCACTGAGGCTCTTGACAGCCTCTCCTTCATCTTCCTGAACTCAGAGATCACATTCAACAGCTTCCCTTGTTCCAGGGCTTTCTTAATATCACCGAAGAAGTTTTCAGGGTCCATGATCTTGCCAGTAGAGAACGGACCGTTAGAGGTGAGATAGGAATCTTCCATGTTTGAGGGCAGTGGAGCAGCCTGCAAAGAGGAGAGCTGGGGCATTAGATACGGTGACAAGGAATCCACAGATGTCACACACCACATGGCCAAGCTTCAGATCTGCCACCACAGAGGCAGCAAAGGTACCTTGGTTGAAACAGAGCAAGGCAGGACCCTCAGGTTGGGGTGTCACACATGGTTGTTCTGCAGCTTGAGCCCCTCCTGGGGTTCACCCAGGCAGGACTGAAGAGGCTTAGACTTGAGCAGCAGGTGTCAGCTGGGTCACTCTGTGGGAAATGGGTAGGCAGGTCCGACACGCTGGAGGGCCAGCTCATGCCAGCTCCCCACACCCAGCCACTACAAGGCCAGGACCTGCAATTCCTCACTGGGATTGTCTGTAAGAGTCAAAAGTAGGGGCTTGAAGGGATGGCTCAGCAGTAAAACACATTCGCTGCTCTTGCAGAGGACCTGGGTTCAGTTCCCAGCACCCACATGGCAGCTAACAACCATCCCTAACTGTAGCTCCGGATCTGATGCTCTCTTCTGGCCACCACAGGCATTGCACACACAAATACAGTTACATAACATGCAGACAAAACACATATACACATAAAATAAAAAATATTTTTTTTACAGTTCCAGGGGAATCCGAAGCCCTCTCCTGACCTCCGTGGCACTGTACAACATGGGTGCACTCACATACATGCAGGCAACATACTCATACACATAAAATAAAATGAAATATTGAAAAATAAAATAAAGGACAAATGTAAAGAACTTTCCCCAAAACGTTGTGATAGACAGACAGACAGACACACACACACACACACACACACACACACACACACACTTTTCAAAATGTCAACTACTAAAATGTTCAAACTGTGGTAGACACAAAGTTCACTTAGATTCCCAACCCTCCAAGCCAGGACTCCTAGTCCTTGGCTGTTCCAGACAGAGAACCAGAGAGTTTTACATAATCCCTGGATAGCCCTGTGCTGCCTGTGGGAGGTTCAGATTCTGAAGTCTGGCCCTAAAGGGAAAACCAGAAGACGCTGAGACTCCCCAGGAACTCCCCACTTTCTCCAGGCTGGGTCCGAGCCCAAGACCAAGGCCAGGCGCACACAGGTGAGAGCAGCAGAGAGAGCCGTGCTATGCATGGCCAGTGGAGCAGCCCAGCGCTGCTTCCCAGTGTCAGGCTTCTGTGTGGTCTCGTGAGCAGGCTACTGGCCAAGCTGCACCTAGGAGCCTCTCACCTACCTGCCCAGAAGCTTCCAAAGCCGGAATCCAGGCCCACGATCTTCAGGACAGAGAGAAGCAGGTGTGGAGAGCTGGGGTCCTCCTAGGAGGGAGTGGAGGAGGAGGAGGACAGGAGGAGCAGCAGCCGGGCAGCCTGGGCTCCTGGTTCCTCCCCGTCCCTGCTCCACAGGCCGCCCTGGCTCCCACCCTTCAACTTAGCACTGCCTGCTTTCCCCACTTCCCCCACGGTGAGGGGACGGCTACGGAGCAGCTTTCGGTTTCCATTCCTGGAAATGGCTGGTTTGCAGAATTTGGTGCACGTTCTTCTTCAGAGGGGGTGGAGCTCTGCCAGATGGCCTGAGTCCAGACCCCTGGAGTCAGATGTCTGTCCAGGGACCCTGATGGCCAGCCTGGGGTCAAGACCTGCAGGGTCTGCCCCTGTGGCTTCCCCACCCTCTCAGAGGATGGCACCTAACCCTGGGCAATGCCACCTTCAGACCCAGTGAGCCCAGTCCTCAGGCAGCCGCAGACTGTCCACAAGGTGGTTCTCCCTGGCCGCAGTTCCTCCTGCTTGTCCTCTTGGTCACTCCCACCCCACTCAGCTCAGGTGCAGAAATTCCCTCCGGCCAGGGAACATCTTTGCCTTACCCCCAACCCTTTCATCTAGCCTGGGTCAAGGCACATCGTCCCTTAGAATGCCACCTCTAACTGGCTTCCTTCTGCTCATGGGTGTCTCTGAATCAGGAAAAAAGAAGAGAAAGCTCGCTCTCCTCCTCTCCATATGCTTAATTACCACCGTCCTGGGCAACATCTTCATGATGTCTGTCCCCAGGCAGAGGGGAGTGGGCTGGATTCCCCTGCATCACTTTTACTCCGTGGTTAAAACAAAGTCAAGGTTCCCAAGACCAGAGATGACACTGGAGGAAGCATGCAGCTCCTAGTGCGGTCTGTGGGGACCCTGTACAGCCTAGCCGCCTCACCCAGAACTTTCTACTCCCCTCACAGTCGCTGGGCTTTCCTGTGTTTCTGAATCGAAGCTCGTGTCAGGCACAGGTTCTCACTGGAGGAAGCACCCTCTTCCCAGGTTGCCCTGATGTGCACGGTGTGGCAAGGCCTCCACGACCCAGCTGTTCCACACCAGGACGCTGGAACAGAAAGGCATCTAGCAAGCAGCTGACAGCGCCCCGGTGTGGAGCATGACCACCCCTCATCTCACTTCAGGAGTTTTCCCAGGGTCTGTGGTGTGGGCTGGATTCCTTAGAAGTCTCTACATGGTGCTGTGTTGTTGTTGTTGATTTATTTATTCTTATTTTATGTGTATGAGTGTTTTATCTGCATGTGCTTAAGGGTACCATGTGCATGCAATGCCCACAGAAGCCAGAAGAGGGCATTGGATCCCCTGGAATTGGTTACAGGTGGTTGTGAGCTGCCATGTGGGTGCTGGCAAGTGAACCCAGCCAGGTCTTCTGGAAGAGTGGCCAGTAGTCTTAATCACTGAGTCATCTCTCCAGTTCAACTTTTGTTTTTCTTTTTTGAGACATGGTCTCCCTGTAGTCCCACCTGGCCTAGAACTCACTATGTAGACCAGGCTGGGCTCCCTCTTACAGAGAGCCACCAGCCTCTGCCCCCCTAGGCTGGTGGTGTGTTTGACTCAAGTCGTAGACCTGTGCTGTACTAATTGGCTCACGAAAACATGAACGGGGAGGGCTTGAGTTTCCAAAATGGGCACCTGTGGCACATGATCAAGGAAGCTCTTCCACCTCACAGTCTACCTCACAGGGAGCATGTGGTCACAGAAGGGAGGGGCAGAGGGCTCTGTGTGACTGTGTCAGAATGACAAAGTAAGTTATTTGCGGGGCAGGTAAACATGCAAGCTGGGACATAGCCATGAAGCAAAGACCACAAATGTTTGTATCCGCATACAAAAATCTTATGTGGCTGAGAGATGTCTAAGGTGGCTCTGACAGGCTTGACTTACTCAGAAAGGCCGCAGCAGTCAGACCATGCAGGAAAGGTTTTCATGGGCATATTGCGACTGGGATGAATGTCAACAGAAGATTGACAGACTGGGGAGATGGATGTACAAGATTTAAGTTCAGTCCTCCAGAACCCATGTAAAGGATGCCAAGTGTGGTGAAGTGTGTGTGTGTGGTTTTTGTTTGTTTGTTGTTTTGTTTTTTTTGAGACAGGGTCTCTCTGTAGCTCCAGCTGGCCTGGAACTTACCATGTAGACCAGGCTGGCCTTGACTCAAAAAGATCTGCCTGCCTCTGCCTCCCAAGTGTGGGGATTAAAGGTGTGCACCACCACACTCGGCTGGTGAAGTGTGCTGGTAACCCCGGTGCTGGGGAGGTGGGACTGGTGGATCCAGTGCTGGGGAGGGAGGACGGGTGGATCCAGTGCTGGGGAGGGGGGACGGGTGGATCCAGTGCTGGGAGGGGGGACCAGTGGATCCAGTACTGGGGAGGGGCACAGGTGGATCCAGTGCTGGGAGAGGCACAGGTGGATCCCTGGGTTTTCTGGCTATTGAACCTAGTCAACTTGGTGAGCTGCAGGTTCAGTGAGAGACCCTGTCCCAAAAAGCAATGTGTTCAGGGCTGGAGAGCTGGTTCAGTGGTGAAGAGCTCTTGCTGCTCTTCCAGAGGATCTGAGTTCAGTTCCCAGCACCCATATTGGGCAGTTCACAACCACCTATAACTCCAGCTCCAGGGGATCTGATGCTCTCCTCTGACCTCTGTGGACACCTGCACTCATATGACATTCACTCACACAGTCACACACAATGCACATAAATAAAAAACTTTAAAAATAGTAAAACTTTAGACCAAGTGTGGTGGCTCACACCTTTAATCCCAGCACTCGGGAGGCAGAGGCAGGTGGATCTCTGTGAGTTCAAGGCCAGCCTGGTCTATATAGCGAGTTCCAGGTCAGTTGGGGCTACAGGAAGACCCTGTCTCAAAAAAACCAAATAAATCATAAATAAAATAAATAAAATGAAAATAATAAACTTTAAAAACAAGATGAGTCCTTAGGAACAGCAGTCAAGTTGGTCCTCTGGTCTCCACACGTAAGCACATACACTTGCAGACACACAGACACACACAGGCACACGATGATTTACAATGAGGAGGATATGGGAGGCCTCTAGGTCTAGGCAGTCTCTGACCCTGAAGCCCAAATGCAGCTTCCGTGTGAACTCCCCCATGGTCTCTCCTACGTGAGGAACCTTCAGCACAGTGTCCACCCGAGTGTGTCCTTCCTGCCCTTTACCCTTACAACTGGCCCCTGCTGTGCACCCCCCATCACAGGCAAGAAAGAGGAGAAACAAACTCTTGTCCCTGCTGGGCCAGGGGGAGATTTCAATTTCCTAAGAGTCTAGACAGGTGGACCTCTGAGTAGGACTGGGGACTGGAGCCCCTGACCATGGTCTAGAGGCACCAACACCTGTGATAGTCCCACCAAGGAAAGGAGTTTCCTAGCAAAGGGCGATGCAAGGGGCAGGGGCAGAGAGTCGAGGAAGCTCGACATTCACTCCCTTGTCCTCCCTCCAAGGCTGATAAAACAAAGCAGGGTGTGGAGGGAGACGGACCCTGGGGGGGTGGGGGCGAGAAGGAAGGAGAAGGCTGGAGCAGAAAGTGCAATGACCAGAAATCTGCTCCACAGTTCAGAGCAAAGGGACCCTCTTGTCTGCTAGTGGCTTCCCCACCCCCACCCCCACCCCTTCCTGGACAAGACAGCTACAGAGAGGAAGAACATAGCCTGTTTTGACATCCTGGTTCTTGTTGATCATTGATGATTTTAGAAACAGAAGGCTTCCCTCCCCTGCAGAAGAGGCCAGCTTCCCTTGAGGCCTGGGGAGGGGTTTGGCTGCTGTGACCAGTTTCAGATTCAGTCTCTGGTACAGGAAGTTTCTGTGTCCTGTAATCTATGTAGTGTTTCCAAGAGTGAAGTAGAACAGGTCCCTCAGGAGGAAAGTTCCAGAACCTTGCGTTTTAATGATCCCAGCATTCCAACTTGGGAGTTTTGGTCCTTCAAAGAGCTTAATGTCCACAGACCTCAAACTCAGTATCCACATTTGTCAAGAATGAGGGTTTCATGTGTTCTCAGGGAGGGACCCCAGCTGGCAAGCAGGGTGTATTTATGGACTGGGCACCAGATAAAGATTTCTCAAGGCAGGATGACCTAGCAGATGGATGTGGTGTGGACACAGAGGGTACACAGCCTGTTCTTGAAGTGCTGCCTGCTGACCGTCTCCAACTGAGACAGTCAGGAGTTAAATCTGCATACTAGAGCCAGGGCTGTGGGCCACCTGTACATGGTTATCTGTTTAGATGCTGTGTGTGTGGGTCATCTCCCCATGGGAGGAGTGGGAAGATGACAGTGTGGGTCATCTCCCCATGGGAGGAGTGGGAAGATGATAGATGATAGGTAGAAGACAGACAGATGGATGGATGGATAGATGGATGGATAGATGGATGGATAATTGAGGCTTATTGCTCCCTTCATTCATCTGGTTGTGAAAAAGATCAAGTGAGGGGCCTGGGGTGGTGGCCCACACCTTTAATCGCAGCACTTAGGCGACAGAGTCAGGCAGAGCTCTGTGAGTTCAAGGCCAGCCTGGTCTACACAGAGAGTTCCTGTCCAGCCAGGGCTACGTAGTAAGTCTGGCCAACCCTGGGAACCCTTATTGGCTTGTCAGCCCCACTTTGTACTCTGCTGTCTGGGTACCGAGCGTCCTCTGCCAACACTCCAAGGGGATGTGGACACTACAGCAGCAAATTCCCTAGGAGCAGGGGTGTCCTTAGAGCCCAGTCAAGCCCTGACTAGTGTCAGGTCCCCCCACTTTACCACTGTCCTAGTTTGCTTTCTGTTGTTGTGATAAACCCACTGACCAAAACCAATTTGGGGAGGAAAGACTTTATTTCAGCCTACAACACCCAGATCACAATCTAAAATGGAAGGAAGTCAGGGCAGGAACCTGGAGGCAGGAACTGAAGCAGAGACTGTGGAGGAGCGCCGCTCACTGGCTTGCTTGAACAACAGCTGAATCGTACCTGAGAGGCTGAGACCCTGGTAGTTGCTTGGTCTTT